ACTGCCTCATCTTTTTCCTGCAGAGCAGCTGGTGGGTTCGAACTGCCCATCAGCTTGCAGCTGGACCCTTAGCCACTGTACCAGCCAGGTTTGCGTTAAACCAGAATTCAGTGTCATCAAGTAAGTCTGACCCATAGTGACACTGTAGGGCAGAATAAAATGACTTCATAGGTGTGTTAGTCTGGGTGGTCTAGAAAAACCAATTCATAGACACTCATATGTGTATAGGAAAGAGTTTTATATAAAAGAGCAATTGTATATTGAGAAAACATTCCAGCCCAGTCCAGATCAAGTCCGTAAGTCTGATATCAGCCCCTATGCCTGATACTGATCTGGAAATTCCTCTTTAGACTCACCCAGCTCATGCAATGATGCCTAATGCAAGAAGATCACAGGCCAGTGGGTAGAAAGGTCTTGTGGATCCAGCGGCATTTGAAGCATCTCAATGTAGGCCTGGGTCTCCTCGTGTTTCCACCAGCTCCAGGGCTTTGGCTTCATCAGCGTAGCTCCATGTTGCTTGTCAGCAGGAAGATGAAGCAGAGAGAGTGTGTTTCCTCCAGGGAGGAAAACAAGAGCTCCTAGAATCCTCAGGAGAAGACCATGCCCACACAGAAGCATCATTGGCTATGACCTGATTGACAGGGTAGACTCCACCCCTTCACGCAAGTTGACAGGAGATTATGTGACTGCCACAATTCTGAGACTGCAAATCTTTGCGGAAGGAGATAACCTCATCTTTCTCCCTCAGAATGGTGGTGGAGTCAAACTGCTGACCTGTGGTTAGTAGCCCAATACACCACAAGCACTCAAATTAGTAAACAATAATTGTCCTCTCACTTATTAGGTAGTTTCATATTGGTGTGTAGTTTCTAACTAGATCTTCATAATCAAATATACAGAGAAGTACAATTATGATCTTCATTTTAAAGATGTGTACATTGATTGACACTCAAACAAAAACCAAACTCACAACCATCAAGTCAATGCCAACTCATAGTAACCCTATAGGACAGAGTATAACTGCCTCCTGTGAGTTTCTGAGACTGTAACTGTTTATAGGAGTAGAAAGCCCAGTCTAGCTCCCTCAGAGCTGGTTAGTGGTTTCGAACTTCTGACTTTTCGGATCTCAGCTGCCTCATGTGTGACCACTCCAAAAACAGGGGTCTTCTGACACTTGAAGAGGCCAATTAATTTGCCCAAAGGTGTAGAGGTCTAGAGCACCTAATTGGGACTTTCAGGCCACATTGCTTGGCTCAGTTAATAACTTTCAGAACTGCTTTACAACCTCTCAACATTACAAACTACCTGCTAGACGTATCATGCTTGATAGAGTCTAAATCCATTTTTAGACCTCCCTGGGTGGCAAATATGGCCAAATCCTCTAGCAGTTCCGTGGCACAGTGGTGAAGCACTCACCTGCAAACTGAAGGGCCAGACTTGTGAATCCACCAGCAGCGCCACAGGAGACGGATGCGCTAGTCTGCTTCTATGGGAAACGCCGCCTTGGGAACTCCGCGAGGCAGGACTACTCTTGTCTCAGGGTTGCTATCAGTTGAAATCCACTTGAAGGCGTGGGTTGGGTGTTGATTTCGTTTGTTTTTTTGTGAAGCGAAATTTGGTTGTTTGAATCTAGTGAGAAGAAAAGCGTGATGATCCGCTTCCCAAAGACCCCAAACCCCAAGCCTCAGTGCCAGCCACGGAGTGGATTCTGACTCACAGCAACTCCATAAGACCGGGTAGAACTGCGCGTGTAAGCTTCATCTTTCTCCTCTGATGTGGCTTCTGGTTTCAAACGGCTGCCCTTTCAGTTAGCAGCCCATTGCTCACACTCTTTACCCCACCTCGGCTCTACTTTACACACAAGGGGTTAACATCAGTTGGGTCAACTTGAATGCAAGGAGCTTTATAAGTTTGTTTTTGAAATCTCTATGTAGTTGTTGAAAAGTATTCCTAATAACACTCAATAATAGTGGCGGTAAACCATGACAAACTAGTGAATGCCTCCACTCTCAACTTAATCAATGCTTCCCTCCAGTCTCCACTGTGAGGAGGAGAGGGCACTTTTGGGCTATTCTGCTTTCCTCAGTGACTAGTTTAAATTAGCTGCTCAATGAACGCTTGAATAAATGAATAATCAAAGAATTCATTCCTTCTCTGATAGGAGCCTGTTTACCGCAGTCATCCAAATTACATTGCTCAGAAACTTCACTGAGGAGCCCTGATCGATCTGTGGATTAAACATTGTCATGATAATGGCACAGTTGGTGGTTCAAGCCAACCAGCTGCTCTGCAGGACAAAGATGAGCTGTCTGCTCCTATACTTAGAGCAGGGATTCTCAAAGTATGGGTCGTGACCCTTTTGGGGATCCAATGACCTTTCACAGGGGTCGCCTAAGACCATCAGAAAACACATAAATATTTCACAATAATAATTACACATTGTTTTGTGATTAATCACTATGCTTTAATTATGTTCAATTTGTAACAATGAAGATACATCCAGCATATCAGATATTTACATTACAATTCATAACAGTAGCAAAATTACAGTTATGAAGCAGCAAGGAAAATAATTTTACGGTTGGGTGTCACACAACACGAGGAGTTGTATTAAAGGGTTGCGTCAGTAGGAAGGTTGAGAACCACTGACTTAGAGTCTCCTAAACCCTGGGTGTAGGGTTGTTCTGAGTTGAAATCAACTCTTTGACAGTGGAAGCTTTATGATTCTATGGTTGATTTTATCTCAGACATTTTCATCTCAATTTCTTTTGAAACCTGATAATGCCAGGTGTCGTAGTATAAATACCTTCTAATACTTTTATTTTGATATATTTTTCTAAACAAAAATGATTTATATGAAAGATGATTTAGGGAGATCATTAGATTCCAGAGGTAGACAATTAACCTTGCATGTGTAATGTTAAACTGTGGGGTGGACTGCTGGTGTCCTTTGGATTGAAGGGGAACAGACTAAGACGGGTTTTGTAGAATGCCTTACACGGTTGGAAAATATGTCTTTTTTGCTCTAGGACAGAGTGGGAGTGAGCATCTTCCTTCCTGAGGCATTGCCTCCAGAATCCATGTAGGACTGGGCTGCCTGGCTTAACTGTGGTAGAATTAGTTGCCATAACATTATGTAATTTTTTTATTATTATTAACCTGAGCTCACACAGTGCTGAAATCCTCAGTAGTGTTGAAACCCCAGTAGTAACAATGGTTTCGTTTCCTAAGAAATAAACCCTTGTATTTTTTTCATCAAATGTTCAAATCTTCTTTAGCATTCATTTCCTGCTCCTAAGTATGTCCACCACTTAAACACCTGATCTGATTGGCTGGTATTAAAATACAGTCCAATACATTAGATAGTTGGAATTAAAAGGCTGTTTCACATGCCAGTAAGTACATTAAAGCTTAAAATCAAGCCAAACCTAATAAAAAAAGAACAACTGAAAAATCATGAATCAACAAATAATTCTTTTACCATCTATTTTTAACAGGTCACACAAAATGAGGAGCACATTCTTACATTCATAAAGAGCTTCAAATAATATATGGGTTGACTGAAAGCAGAAATGCTAATTCATTCTGATAAGAACTTAAGTTTCCATAGCTACGATCAGGTTATAGAACATGATTATACTTGTAAAAAGTATCAGAGTAGAAATAATGGGTAATTGCAAAAGAAAAAAGCAAAGAAAGACTGGCGCTTCTATATTAACCAGCAGAACTGATTGTTTCAAAATACCTTGTGAGATTTTAGAGAAAATTAAAGATGAAAGGATGACATAACTTGTAAGTGGCAACTTTTTCCCCCCTTCTAATGGACTTTGATGTTGATTTTTCTATCTGACTCAAACATGTCAATATTACAAGGAATATTCAACTGAAAACAGCAACTCTTGTTAAGCTTACTGTGTAAAGAGTACACTTTCATTCTTTTTGAAAAGTAGGTTGAGGAGGGCCTACTCATAGAACCTTTGACTTGGTGGATTTAGAAAACTTACTTCCAGGAAAACATGCTTTCATAGTGATCATGCCTCCATGCACATCCGCACCTCACACATGACCATTTCTGACAAATTTCCTCCCACACATTTACTATGGTAACATTAGTTAACGTTGATCACATGTGCTTGATTGCCAAGCTCTATGCTGAATTTTTTATACTCATCACCTCTGCTAATCTTCATAACAACCTGTGTGGGGACTATTCTTGCCATCAGTTTACAATTAACAGTCAAGTGTAGAGATTGAAAGTCATACGTGTTTTGTGTTATGTGATTTTGGTTTTGTTTGCTCAAGAATCTTGTCTATCGTTCTGATTTTAAAACCTTCCAGTGGTGATGATATGCCAGTTACCACTGTTGGCAATTCCTGACTGGTAAAGATTAGCTTTGGTTCCAGTGATCTATGGTGCTGAGTTAACCATTATAGAACACCATTCCAGAAAATAATTGGGGGAGTTCCTAAAGGAATCTTGCCTAAGACAAATCATATTAGGAATGTGTATCTACTTGATTACCAATATATTGTACATGAATAATTCAGAATCATAAATATAATCTACAATGAAAAAGCACACAAGACCCTCCTTGCCAAATACTTATATGATTCTACCTGGGATTGAACATAAAGATCTTTAGGGCCATTAGAAAGAAGTGAACCATGAATCTGATATAGCTTATTGTTTATAGGGATGGCATTCTGAGACCACAGAATCATGGTTCCAATCATTTAAGTCAAATCTTTATCCTCCAGCACAGATATTACACACCCTGCTATCTTCCAGTGCAAGAACATTGCGAATATTGCTACTTTGAGACAGTAGTTGCTACTCAGACAACACTCGTATTCACTAAAAATGCTCTGATTGTTGGTAATTTCTAATAAGACATAGTCTTGGAATAAATTCCAACATAAGCACTAGAGACTTCTTTGGGATCATCCACGGCACTTTGCTTTCGCCCTCGATGAAGGTACGCTGTGTTTTCATTCTGCAGGAAGCGCTCGTCTCACACATGATCTCCTCCAAGATGACGAGCTCAAACCCCGAGGAGGACGCTCTGGATGCATTTCTGCAGTACATTGAGGACCTGGGCATGAAGGCCTACGATGGCTTGGTTATTCAGAATGCATCAGACATTGCTCGCGAAAACGACCGCCTGAGAAATGAAACAAATCTGGCCTACTTGAAGGAGAAGAACGAGAAACGCCGGAGACAAGAAGAAGCAATAAAACGGTAAGTGGTCCAAGTTGTGCTTGCATGGGAATGCTGTCGAGCTGTGGCATGGTCACTGGTCATGCACGAGCTTGGCCAGGTTGGTGATCCTGAGGAGACAGTGTGAAAGTGGTACCTCCCTTGGAACCAAAGCATCATCTGCGCTGTTGCCAGGGTGCTCGCCTGGGTTGACAAGTTTCTTACTTGCGGATCATGCCTACCTAGGAAGATGCAGATAGGAGGGGGAAAGAATTCCATTTCCACCAATGAAAAGCTCTGACCGCAGAACTCTGGATGAGGAACAAGAGAAAATACACACACATACACTCTCTCTCTCTCTCAAAGGCAAACTTAAAAGTCCAAACTTTAATGGTTCTTATTTAGAGTTCTTATTTTATAATGGACTTTATCTTCTGTCTAGATTATGCCCAAGACTCATTAAGAATTAAGTGACCTCTGAAGGGACGTGGGACCTTCAGTGTGTATTCTCTTTCAAGAATTTCATGCTCGTGCATGCTTTGTCTGGTACTAAATGTTCTGGGTTTGTTGAAATGAAATGAGTGTTGTATGACAAAGCTTGGAAGCTACAAGGAAACTGGAGTTTCCCAAACTGAGGTTCAGTTTCCTCTGGCACTGAAGGGAAGAAACATGATAAATATCTTTTGATTTTTTAAAAAGTGCTTGAGTTTTGTTGTAGTGCTTTCAGTCAGTGGATGTGTGTGTGTGTGTGTGTGTGTGTGCTTTCCAGAGATAGAAGTCGATGGGATCCTCATGCTGTGCTTGTTAGAGTTCTGTTTCTTTCATGGAGACCGTTTGCAAAGTGCAAATATGGAGAACCTAGCAAACCAATTTATAACAATTAGCTGGGCAACTGAGCACACGTAGTTACGATATATTTCGATGGTCAGT